GGTACAAGGAATCGAATTCGCGACCATCGAAGGTGGAAGTGAAGACGCTGTGCTAAACCGCTAGACCACCGAGGCCGGCATTGATACTCGATTATATTTATGTTGATGAAATCGATTTTATTTTTATTTTATACTAGCTGTGCCCGCGGTTTCAACCGTTAAATTTCTATATAAAATATAGCCTATGTGCTATTCTGATGTATAAGCTATATTACTCTTAAGTTTCACTTCAATCCGTTAAGTAGTTTTTGCGTGAAAGAGTAACAAACGTTTTCACTTTCGCGTTAATAACACTAGCTGATTTGTATGGCTTTCGATTTCTAACAAACAGCAATATTCATAATATTAATACTAGATTTAAAGACAAACTTGCTGTCCCCAAGTATCGTTTAGAAAAAGTTAATAGGTCTTTTATGGGAATATGTATAAAAATTTACAATAAAAGGATATGTTGGAATTACTCTTAAATAAATTCAAAACATCTGTTAAATCATATTTACTGAGCAAAGCCTATTACTCACTAAACGATTACTTGAATGACGAGTGTGCATGGCAATAGTTGTTCATGCACTGAATTTTCATTTAATGTTAGACATAGACACCTATATAAAAATATATTGTAAATAAACTGGCTTTAAAAAAAAAAAGTATCTCAATTGAGTTTCTTGCCAGTTCTTCTCAATTGGATCTATATACCGAACTGGACGGTAGGGAAAAAATAAAATTATAATGTAAAAATTTGACGTTCATAAGCGGCTAAAATGTCCTACATGAATAAATGATTTTTGAATTTGAATTTGAATTTAACAGCTGCGAAGTGCTCCTTGACCATTGATCATTTTGCTTCGCAAGTATTTTTTTTTATAGCTACCATAAAAAAAAATAGCTATCTTTCATGTCAAGTTACTTTCTTTTAAATTTTTGATTTTTATACCACGATTGAGGGACGGAATGCGCGAGCTAACGGCGCGCGCGGAAGGACTTACGGAGCGGCTGAAGGCCAACTGCCTTAGTCTGAGGGCCCCGCTAGGGGTTCGAACCTCGGCTCAGGCCATCGTAATTTCGACCCCGTTTGAATTGGACGGGGGATCGATCGGAGGGGTGATTCGCGCGTGAAAGATCGTATCTGTAAAGTCAGCAATTATATGATGTACTATCTGCCTCTGGGCAAATAAATAATTTCTTTGACATTATGTTTAAACTGATTTAAACTGTTGCGTCATTGTTTACTGTGTACACATTACTGATATAAACGGAAAATTTGCGTTTTTTATTGTTCGGAGTATAACGAGGCTATAAAAAGGTACTGATCTATACATATAAATAAAATTGGAGTGCTTGTTTATAATATTGAAATAACCGTTTTTTTACTACAGGCATATGAATATAAATAAAGTACATACACGAAAATAACAATTTTTTACATTTTTTGTCTGTTTGTCTATCTCTCTGTTTGTTCCGGCTAATCTCTGAAATGGTTGGACCGATTTTGACGGGACTTTTTTGCCAGGTAGCTGATGTAATAAGGAGTAAGTTAGGCTACTTTTATTTTAGAAAAAAAATATTTTTTTTTAGAATAATGAAGTTAAATTCCATGCAGACGAAGTCGCGAGTACAGCTAGTAAATAATAAAACAGATACTGATAAATAAAACTGTATAGTTTACCACAGTAATTAATGATAAACGAGTGGAACGTAATTTATTGAATGCGATCTGATTTGTAGCGAATAAAGAATTTTAAATTTAAAAATTTTAACACCTCGAAATTTATAAATATGAAATTTATAAATCTTAACACCTCGAAATAATATACGATGTTACCCAATATATTATTGTGTATATGTTATCATAATTATCTTCCGATTTAAACATACACATACAATAAGCTGCTGTAGCTGTTCCCGCGATATCGTTCGCGTGAAATTTAACTTTTCTAAAATAAAATTAGCCTAAGTCACTCTACTACTCTACTCTTATTACATCAGCTACCTGCCAAAAAAATTCTTGTCAAAATCGGTCCAGCCATTTCATTGATTAGCCGGAACAAACAGACCGACAGTCACACAGACGAAAATGATAAAAAATGTTATTTTGGTATATGTACCGTATTTATATTAATATGCATGTAGTAAAAAACGGTTATTTCAATATTACAAACAGACACTCCAATTTTATTTATATGTATAGATAGTCTATGGAAACTATAATTAGTTACTCAGTACATAGAGTTTAAGTAGAACATGCTTAAATATAAGTTTAAAGCGAAATTACGACCTAACACCAATATGTTCGTAACGGTATGAAAATATCGGGAACGTAAGAAACCTGTAGGTAGATCTGTAGGTCACAATTGAGGTAGAAAGATGTCGTAATTGGGAAATTCATAGAGCATAACTGCTGCATGTTGATCTATAATTGTATAACAAATAGAGTGTCTAGTGCGCCTCCTACCTTCCCTCTTTATGTAAATACTCTCTGTAAACACCGGGTTGTCTGTAAGAGATTGCTGATAGCGATAAGACCGCATTTTGTAAAACATATTTTCATTGTATTGTACTTACTGTCCTATGTTTATGTATGCGCAATAAAGAGTTATTATTATTATTATTATAACTGGATATCTATTACTCAAAATAAACCAAATGTAACTGGATATCAATTGCTCGAACAGAATAAAAATTGGATTGAATAAGGCCTACACAAAATATTGGTTTGACGGCCTCGGTGATCTAGTTAGCTAATTAGTTCTGCACATCACTTTACTATCGATTGGGGTTAGATTCCTCGCACGGTACAAACATCTGTATTCAGGAATATGACTATATGTATTGTTTTGAGTGTTTTCAATGTATATTATACAAGTATTAAAAAAAATTGAAGTATTTATATGAGTTCTTTAGTACCCATAATATAAACTCTGCTTATCTACGGATTACATGGCGCTGTATGTACTGTCATATTATTATCCTTTGATGGGATGATAGATTTGTCATTGCATAATAATCACCAAACAATGACAATATAGAGGAAATGGTAAAGATGGAGATTATTATTATTATTATTAATTTATTACTAAGACTTAAGTAGAAAAAAAGATAAACGACATAATCACGATAAATATTAGCTTAGGTACAAACCAATCAGCTGAAATGGGTGAGACTGAAATAGAAATAATCTTTATTCAAATAAACTTAATATAAGCACTTTTGAATTGTGAGTAGCTATGACGTGGTTTGGTGTTTTGAGTAGTCATGCTCACTAAAATGTCCAGACTTGTGGCGGCGTGGTGGGCCGGGTTATTGGGCTCCCTAAAATATGGTCGAGCGCAGTGGTGGCTGGCTCATCCGTCATACTCGTGAACGGGTGCACCTTGTGTGGACTGGTCTGCTCTAATCACTATGACTTATTTTCTCTTATTAATTGTTTAACCAGTTGTTGTATATTGAATGTTTTTTTTCTATTTTATTATTTCATTGAATTAGTGCTAATCGGTGGTTTGTATTCACACATTTAAACTTAAATTGTAAGTAAGAATAAATTATTTAAAAGAGCAACACACAAGTTTCTTGCTTGTTCTTCTTGTGATGAGACAGCATTCCGAATGAGCGGTAGATTAAAAAAAAAATGTTATGACTATTCAAAAGTGCTTCAATGTAAGTTTATTTGAATAAATGATTTTCTATTCTATTCTATTTTTGAATAGTCACACTGAGAAAGCCTACACTATTGTAGATTGAAATATTGTAATTTGATTGTGCATATCTATCTTACTTAGCATGCATGTATGTTGTTAATTATAAACGGGAACAAAGAGCTCAAAACTTGTTCTATCATATGAACGGCGGTACTCGAAAAACCCGGCGAAAATCTGCGCTAAGCGACAAAATTCATTTCCTCTATTTCCTCAGCCATGAGGACTGGTAATAGACTTGGTAACTTTATTTGGTTTTGTGTTGCAACACACTTAAATGTTGTGAACTGAAAACTAATACAACATTATGTGTTTATAATGTGTACCTACCGCTATGTTAATGGAATTTGTATAAAATATAATACAAATTCAATTAACATATCTCTATCTATATATTAATACGTGATGCAAATAACTTTGTACCTTTGTTAAGAAATATGAAAAATCACACACTTATCATTAGTATAAAATAAAGTTGCTGTCTATCCGTCCCTATGCAAAAATCTTTAAAATTACGCAACGGATTTTGAAGCGGTTTTTTTAATAGATAGAGTGATTCTAGAGGAAGGTTCATATATATATAATAATAAATGTACACCTGTGCAAAACCGCGTGAATAGCTAGTTAGATTATATAGAGAAGTGCAGAAAGTTAATATTTTTTTAATATTAGGCATGTATAAAAATACATTAGGGCAATAAAAAAAAAATTACGCATACTACCATTTATTTGAAACATAGGCTTTTTAATTTTTATGGCTAAACAATAGCAGATAATGAAAAAATGAAAAGGAAAAGTTTTGTGCAGATTTTTATTCTCTACAACATTTATTTAAAACATTTTTTTATATTTCTTATGGTTATCGAGTTATTTTGAAAAAAGGCGTTTTTTAATTATTATTTTAATTTTTTCATCCCTTTCCCGTTAACTTAAATTAAAATTTTTGTTTGAATATTTTAATTACGTAATTGCGGATTTATTATTATATATTGCACCAAAACTTGTCACATCATTTTTAATTTTAAATTTTACTGGACTATATGCACTCTATTATATTTTACTGGACTATATTGCGTGTGCGACTCATACACACTCATCACAAGCACTGCTTGTGATTATAGAATATTCTTAAAAAATAGAATTTTAATAATGTTGAACTTTATCATTTTAATTAATTATGGACGAATTAGGTCATAGCAGACGAATTCATAGGAAAGAACTAGTATTATATAAAATAACAAGTTTATATTTTAAATGAGTATGCGCAATATTATAAATAAATAATATTCGTCTCGCGTCGGCAATCGACCGAGGTAGCCGTGTTAAAGTAATTGTGTTTACTTAACGTTCCGAGTGCATTTATTGTTTTTACGTGCAGGTGTTACGTTCGCCTGCGCCAATAGGACGCGGGCCGAGTGCCCCGTCCCGTCTACTTTCATAATAACAACTTAAAACCTATTCTAACATGGATAGTGATACAATTCAAAATATATCAGTTTCCGACATTGCGGAATTATACTCGAAGACATGCACCGATACAAACGATTCAGATATGGAAGATTTATCAGCTAATCAGAACATTATTCAATATGACGAGCAAGACACCCAGGGTATATATTACAATAAACCAACAAAGAGAAACCGAGAGGAGGAGGATGATAACGAATGGACAGTTGTTAGTGGGAAAAAGGAGAAAAGACCACGCCAGAATAGCATACAGGATATGGATGACAGTAATATAATAGATAATTCGACCGTATACATCACCAGCAAAGAAAAGTTACCGAAACAATTTGCACTCGCTCGCATATTTAAAGCAAATGATATTAATAATGTATGTCGTGTCAAATACCTAAACCCATTCAAAATCCGAGTGCAATTTAATAATGAACTAAACGTGGAGAAATTATTCTTCTGTAAAGATATAATAGATATGGATTGGAGAATACAAAAAGCCTTAGAAATTAGTTACTCATACGGAGTTATTAGGAATATTGATTTAGATCTATCGGAAGAAGAGATGTTTAACAATATAACGTGCCCGGAACCTGCTAAACTAAATTCCTTGAAGCGCCTCACTCGTCGTAGTAGTGATGGAAATGGGTGGTCCCCTAGTGAATGTATACGCCTATGTTTTAAAGGATCAGCACTTCCACCAAATGTTTTTATTTACGACATGCGTGTTAAAGTTGAACCGTACGTATTCCCGGTGTCTCAATGTTCACAGTGCTGGAAACTAGGTCATAGCATAAAGATGTGTCCTACAAAGAAGATCATATGTCCTAAGTGTGGCGGTAATCACGCTAACTGCGAAACAATATCATTCAAATGTATTAATTGCTCGGGTAATCACATGGCGTTATCAAAGACATGTCCAAGTTTTTTAAAGGAGAAAAAGATAAGAGAAATTATGTCTGAATTTAATTGCACATACGCTAAAGCAAAGACAATGTATGTACTCCCAGAGAAACCTATACTTAATAGTACAGAGCAAACAGATGAAAATAGTGCGGCCCCAATTACTTCATTAAACACCGCTTACATAGGGAGTACTGACATGGGAAATACATATGCCAATGTGGTTAAAATTAACGCGGATGTTCACAAAGAAAAGGCATCACCATCTCAGATGAAGCGTCACAAGAAAAAAAAGAAAACTCATCTCACAACACCGTACCCTTCAGAAGAAGACATCTCTAACTCTGACATAGAAAAACAAAGTGATCAACCGACAAATAAACAGAATAAACCCAAAAGCCAAAGCTCTGCGAAAACATCGTTCAATGAACTTCTCGTCAGATTAAAAGAAGTAATATTTTATCAAAGAATGGACTTCCAATCAAAAGTTAAAAATGTAATTAAAATATGCATTGAATGGAGTATACTGTGGGTAGTTGGTAATGTATCAGATTTGCCTATACTTAAATCTCTCGTAAATATTTTCAACAATGGATAGTAAAACCGACATAAATATAAAGCTAAACATCATCCAATGGAACGCCCAAAGTATAAAATCTAAATTGTTACCTTTCGAATTGTATCTTAATCAGGAAAATATTCATATAGCAGCTGTTAGTGAGACCTGGCTTGAACCTCAAAGTACTTTAAGAATTAGTAACTACTCTATCTATCGTTCGGACAGGCATGATTCATACGGTGGTGTAGCATTGTTTCTCCATAAATCTATTAAAGGTCAATTAAAAAACATAAACGTAACAAATGCAGGCATAGAAGTAATCTGTGTACAGTTGTATAATTGTATGAATGTGAGAAATATTATCTCTTTATATTGTCCATCGTCAGTTCGGACCAATGGTAATGATTGGGAATATTTGCTATCCCAATTTGATTCTAATACTCTTATTCTTGGGGATTTTAATGGCCATCACACCTCGTGGTCGTATAAAACGGATCGAAGAGGTGCACAAATATTTGAGGCCATTATAGATAGTAAATTTGCTATACTTAATAGTGGGGATAGCACAAGAATTAAATTGGTCAATGACATAGTACAAAGATCTTCCCCTGACATATCAATAGTGACATCTGATATAGCTCTGGATTTCAATTGGGAGGTACGTAATGAAACTTTAGGAAGCGATCATTTAATAATAAAGTTATCTTATAATAATAATCACTTTGTTCAAAATTATAGAAAGCTACGAAATTATAAAAAGGCAGACTGGACGTCATACAGAGAATGTCTTAAAAAACTTTTTAATGTATTTAATTTCACAGATAATTTACAAAAAGATTATGATGTCTTTACCGATTATATAAACATAGCAGCTGACTTACATATTCCCTTTAAAAAAATTAATCGAAATCCTGATTGTAACTTCCAACCAAAGCCGTATTGGACACCTGAACTGTCTCAAGCAGTGGCCATTCGCCGTAGAGCTCTGTCAGTATTTAGACGTAATCCTACCCCAGATAACTACGATGTTCTTAAAGAAAAGATCAGGTCCACCCAAAAACTAATGAAGACTGCGCGAAAACAAAACTGGATAAACTTTTGTTCCTCTATCAATGAAAAAACCTCATCCCATCAAATGTGGCAAAAGATGAAATGGCTAAAGGGCTATAAAACTCCCAAACAGTATGTTAGTGCAGAAAAAGCCTATGAACTTTTACAATCTCTCACTCCGGATTATGTTAATCCTCAGCAACCAAACTTCACATGTAGGTCTGCAACTATAGAGAGCGATATCTCCATACAGGAGCTAGACAAATGTATTAAACCTAAGGATACATCTCCTGGATGTGACGGCATCTCCTACTCTATGATAAAAAATCTTCCAGAGAATGGTAAGCGAGTATTATTACAGCTATATAATTTATTTCTTAGATCAAGCTTTGTTCCATGTCAATGGCGAGATATTAAAGTAGTTCCTATTCCAAAACCTGACCGAGACCCGAATCTTGTATCATCACTACGACCAATAGCATTGTTAACATGTTTATGCAAAATCTTTCACACTATTATAGGAAATAGACTAGAGTGGCATTTGGAACACAACAACAGTTTTTCAATAAATACATTAGGATTCCGGAAAACAAGATCTGGTATAGATTGCTTAGGCTCTCTAGTTTCAAGAATACAAATAGGAATGTCAGAAAATCAATCTACGCTATGTTGTTTCATTGATATAGATAACGCGTACAATAATGTTGATGTATCAGCTGTGTTATTGATACTAGATCAATTAAACGTAAGTAAAAAAATATGCAATTATTTATGGATGTTTTTAAAGGAAAGGTGTATCAAAATCTATATTGATCAGGATAATTACATTAGTAGATTAACTGGTAGAGGTCTAGCACAAGGAGACCCATTATCACCCCTGCTATTCAATATCGCAACGATCGATATATGTAAACGTTTAGAAAAAAGTGTGTTTATATCACAGTATGCTGATGATTTTGTAGTATACGCAACTAGTAATAATATTGGACAAAACATTATGAAAATTCAACATGCTCTAAATTTATTATATCAATTGTTAAAAAACATCGGACTAGTAATCTCACCAAATAAAAGTAAAATATGTTTATTTAAAAGCGGTAGAAAGAAGGAAACTGTTAATTTATCTATTGAAGGAATTCCATTACCGGTTGTGGATAACATCAAATACTTGGGTATATGGTTAGATCGATCTTTAAAATGGTCTAAACATATTAATGAAACTAAAGAAAAAACACTTAAGTTTTTGAACATTATTAAGATACTAACAGGAACAGGATGGGGAATGCACGTAAAATATTTGAAAATTATCTATATTGCTTTAATTCGGAGTCGATTGGATTATGGATGTTTCTTATATGATAATGCTTCGATATCTCAAATAACTAAATTAGACAAAATACAAAATCAATGTATGCGTATAATAGGGGGGTTTCTGAAAAGCACACCAATCCATGTGATGGAATCTGAGCTGGTCTTACAGCCATTGTTTATTCGTAGACAATATCTAGCCACCAAATTCTGGCTTAAATGTAAATCCCGTGATGATATATTAATTGGTCTAATTGATGATTTGGCGGATTTGTGTCAAGGTATGTTTTGGAGACGTAAAATAAAACCCTTATTAGTGAAGGTTAACACATCTTTGAGGGACAAGTCGATCTACACTAGCAAATATCTGCATATGTTCTCGTTAAATACATGGGTCAACAATTTGGATCTAACAGATGTCATACAACCTAATATTAATATCGTAGTTAAATCTAAAGATCAATACAACAGACAGGTACTAAAATTAAAATGTAATAATTTCTTAAATTATAAATATTCCGAATTCTACAAAATTTACACAGATGGATCAAGTGACAACAACAAAATTGGAGCAGCATTCATAGATATTCAGAAAAACATTTATCTTAAATTAAAAATAAATACACAAATGTGTATCATGCATGCAGAGTTGGTTGCCATTGCCGAGGCGTTAGCATATATCGAATCACTGCCTTACAGAAAGGTTGTTGTTCTCACTGATTCCAAAAGCGCATTACTTCATTTAATTAAATGTACTACTGTTTTTAGAGGACTACCATTGGCCTATGAGATAATTAAAAGTATAATTAAACTCAAAGATAATAATATATGTGTAAGAATACAATGGATACCGGCGCATATTGGTCTGCCTGGGAATGAGGAGGCGGATAGACTGGCCAAAGAGGCTATTTCGGATGGGATTAACTTTAATTATATGATGGGTTTCTCAGATTTAATTCCAATTATGAGACAAGACTGTTGGAAACTGTGGTCGGAGTACTTTGATGAAAGATCCCTATCCAAAGGTATCTGGTATAAAACAATCCAGCCCAATCTCCTTCGCATTCCCTGGTTTGAACATTCTAATATGAGTAGACAAGATATTGTTTTGGCACTAAGACTTCGCTCTGGACACTTTCCTTTGAATAGTTTTGCATTTTTAATGAGAAAATCTATAACTCCAAATTGTACGGTATGTGGAAAAATTGAAGATGTCTATCATATTATTATGGAATGCGCACGGAACGAGACCAAAAGGCACGAATTGTTACCTTATATTCGAAATGGTATCGGCCTCTGCAACAGTATTCTCAATAACCCAATAACAGAAGAGGCCATCAAAATGATTAATATAGTTAAATTTGGCATTAACGAGAGAAATATATAATAATTTAAATATTTTGTACTGTTGCACCGATGGGGGTGGCATATTCTCCGGAATAAACCCTCAATATTTAATAGATTAAAAAAAAAAAAAAAAAAAAAAAAAAAATAATATTCGGGACGCAGCGAGGCCATAAATGTCATCGATAGAGGTAAACGACGCCTCTGGGATCTAGTGTCAGCTGTCGCATAGTGGCTGGTCTATGTTACGAGCGGACAGCGACATCAATGTACCAACGACCACAGGTTCTGGACCAGTCCAGACTATATTGTACATCAACAATTACTCAAAAGAGTAATGTTTAATTTTTAAATCTATATTTTTAGAACAGTTCTTTTTATACGTCATGATTTTTTATACACTTCAATTATTCTCTTATTATCTTTTGATAGTTCTGCATCTGCACAACAATATACTATTATCATATAAACTACGTGTTTTCATCATTTAAATAAACAGACAGTTCACCGATCTATTACAAGTAACATTAAGTTTCTTGTTAGTTCTTCTTGTAATGAGACAGCTTTCTGAATGAGTGGTAGATTATAAATATAATATATTTAAAGTAAGTTTATTGATTAATTTATGTCTACTGTATTCTATTTTTACCTAATATATATTCATGTATATATATAGACTCCTACCTTACCTTTCATTGTGCAGTAGAAGATAAGATTAATAATAAGATACGATGGGATGCCACCGTTACACTATTACAAGATGCATAAGATTCTAATTTTTTTTTAACTTTTTAAATTTGGAATTTTGTTTGTGAGGTTTTTAAATTTTGTCAGCTTTAGTGCTAACCAGACAGATATATATATATATATTTTATAATAAACAATTATTTGAAATTCCGCCATAAGTTTATATATTGCAACAACATTTAAATGTGCATATAAAAATTAACTTCAAAATGGTTTTATCTACGTTTTCGTTAGCGCATATGTAGGTACCTGCTATTTATGTAATATATGGTAGCTGATATTGTATTTTATAAAAGTTTATATAAAATACTTAAATTGAGAGCGAGTAGTCTCTGTAGAAGTTTAAGGTTGGGTTTTCACTGTTAATAATTTTTTAATGTATTTGGGATTTATATGTATGATTGTTTGTATCGGTCTGGGTATTTTATATGTATATACACACAAATAAATATACAATAATAATAATATAATAATAATCTCAGTACAATTCACACAGCGCTATCTAGACCCAAGTTAAGCTAGCTAAAGCTTGTGTTATGTGTACTAGATAACTGATATACATAAATATTT